GGCACTAGGCACTACCTAAGCGAGGGGGGGCTGCCGCGGGGCGTCCTATGGTCCTTTTTTGTTCTCCATGTGTTCTTTTTTTTCCCGAAAAAGGTGATGGCCTTGAGGTATCGGTCCTCGCTCCACTACTCTCGGAATGCGCAAAACGAGAGTGAATCTTCCGGTAGAACATGGAAAAGATACACCGGCATGGTTTTTGTCTTTTGTGCATGTCGAGAGTAGTGGAGCGACGCCCACCATCTTCAAACTGACCAGCCTTAGGTCTATCCTCCAGAGTTATTTACTCGTCTGCGCTCATTGCGATCCGAACTGAGATGTGTATTTCAAAGTTCATGGGTGTACCAACTGAGCAAGGCCCGTTGGTGTTCTCCATGTGTTCTGTTCCCCATTACAAAGGTGTTTGGTGTGCCAGATTCCTTTGTCCAGTCAATGGCCTCGTTAGACCCTCCTTGGAAATCTGATTTTTAGGAAATCGGCGTCGTTACACCGCGCCCTAATTCACCAAATTCCTTGAATGAATGTGAAAACGCTCCCGAGAGATTTCCTTGGATTCCTCAGAATCCCCAGCCAAAACGCCCTTGGATTCAAGCCCCGCGAGGTCCCCTGGGTTCAAGGAGCCGCGATTGACGGAGTGTTCTGGAGAGAGCGCCGACAGGAAAATTTGGAGTCAATGTTGGTGCACAGGTCGTCCGTGGTCCATTGGGCGGCCATCGCCGGCCTCCAGTAGCCGACGGGCCCCCAACGGCCTTCCACCGTTACCGTTGGTGTGGAAATGCGTGGGGGTGGTTCTTCAGCTGCAAGGTGCTTCACGAAGCAGGGTTTTCCATTGCCCGTTGCCGGGCGTGGTGTCCAATGGTCAAATTTTTTTCTTTTCTTTTCTACAAGCGATGTTGAAGCACTGTTGGTCGATTGCAGTCATCTGCCTAGCGTGTTTTGTCGGCTATTACCGGGCGCATTCATGCAAGCTTTGTTTGGTACAAGACTCGCATGCTGCGATTCATGGCAGACGTCCTCTGGCGGTTCCCGCTCCTGCTGCTGGCCACTCTTCTCCTGCTCCTTGTCGGGTTGCTCCACGTGTGCGTCGTTGTGCGGGGTCCTGGCAGCAGACCGAAACGACGAACGATGAGGAAAACGACGATGGACAGGCGGGAAACCTCCAGGAGACTGCCGACGAGCGCCATTGACTACTCCACTCTGCAACTTCTCCTTGTAGTAGCCCTCCGCCGCGTCATCAACCTGTCGGAGATCCTCCCATGTCCCTCCCGTCCTTCTCCTCATCCACCAACTCGGCGTCGCCCGTGGGACCACACCCGATGCCATGGCGCAACAGAATTGCACAATGGATTCCGATAACGACACACGATCGGGTGCATCCATCACTTGTTGCATCAGCTGCCTATGCCTGCGAACGAAAAATCTCATTCTCAAGCGAGTTGTCGTTCTCTCAATGCGATAACACATGGTGACGACTGACACAGCTGCGACCACCGTGTTTCTCTCCAATGTCGTTAATGCCTTCGCACCACTCAGGAGCTCTCATTCCATCGTCAGGACTTGCCATGCACAAGCACCCACCACTCGTTCGCTCGCCGGCGCCGGCGCTGCACCTTCTGCACGTTGATGGGGACCGTGCTAGCACTCTCCACGTTTCACAGAAGCGTTACGTTCACGCTAAGCTGTGACGGCCCGAAGAGCATGCGGAACACTAAGGCGATGTCGCAGTAGAGAACCGTTACACATACACGCTACGTTGCCCAACATTCCAATGGCCGCCATCACTCCTCCGCATAGACGTTTCGCCCCAGTCTCCAAGGATGCCTCACGCACGGATGTGTGGCAACGGAGGGTTCAAAAATTGAAATTGGAACGGGGACGTTGGCGCCCTTTTTTTTCGTCAGCCTGGGAGGCCTCCCCACCGCCGCCACTGGACCACGCCCAAGGACGCACGGACATCCAAGCACGATGACAAACATCCACCCCCGCGGCCGTGTGTATGTGTATGAAATTGGCTGTTGGAGACCTCCAAGGGTGTTCCTTGGGACCCATTGAATTAGGACGTGGTGCCGCCGAAAACCGGAAAATTTTCCAGGGACTCCATCCTAATTCTTGAGGATTTTCCAAGGAGGGTCTAACGAGGCCTTAGACCCAATGCCCCCAGGGGGTTGGAATTTTCTACTCTCCATTTTTTTTTATTTTTTTTTTAACCACAAGTACACGGCCCCATCCTTGCAGTCTGAAACTTGTCGCCACAAGAAAATGAGGCCAAAACGTCAAACACTGGGCTCGCGGTTGATGAATTTGATCGGTGGTGGAGTTTTCGTTCCGCCCCTCCAGAATTCGAGCTGTCGGGCCCGCGGCCCAGGTGCCCATGTACTGGTGCATTAACTTTGGACTATTTCTCGATTTGTGTGTCATCCCTGGACGGGGGGGCATGCTAATCTTCTCTGTAGCGTTCCAATTTACCGGATGTCCCGAAGGAAAACTCCAATTTGTTTCTGCCTTGGATTATTCCCAAGGTTCTCCCTCCTTGACTGCAATGTGGAGATTTGTTTTTGCCTTGGAAAATTCCCAAAGTTCTCCCTCTTCGACTGCGATGTAGAGATTTTTTTCTGCCTTGGAAACTTCCCAAGGTTCTCTCTCTTTGACTGCAATGAGGAGATCTCCGAACAGAGGTTCTCGTAATACCTCCTCTCGTGAGAACATGTACATCGCACATGAAAGTGACGGGCTTGTTCTCCCACCCGTGGGGATATCCTTCTTTTGCCGTGGAATAACATCACCAACAAGAAAGAAGGTATTTTTTAAACTGAAAACTCGTCAAACGGACCAGCTTTCTCAGCCGTGCAGCTCTGGGGTTGATGTTCACTCTGGTGAAGTTCTGTCTTCACCCCCTTATGAGTCCTTCCCAAACGCGCTCTTGTTTTTTTAAGCGGGAGGAGATAATTGCCGTTAAGAACCCAGTTTGAGGGCAGACATACTACATCAGGTGTTTAAAGGGTCCAGCTTGCGGATCCGTCAGTTGAGGGAAGACGCAATGCAGGGGGTGTTTCAAGGGGCCAGCGTGCGGATCTGTCTCGAAGCTAGTGGATGACATGGTAAAGGGTCCAGCGTGCTGATCCGTCAGTTGAGGGAGGACGCAATGCAGCGGGTGTTTCAAGGGGCCAGCGTGCGGATCGGTGTCAAAGCTAGTGGATGACATAGTAGTTTGTGCTGGAAAATCGGACAAAGATTCCATTTGGTCTCAAGGCCTGTATTTGCAAGGCTGGGTTCAAAATGCCTAATCCTTCATTTCCCTTGTTCTGTGTTATATACCTCCATCCAACCTCGTCGATAAACCCTTTTTTTTAAAAGAGGGGGGGTTGGGGGGGGGGGGGGGGGGAGCGTATTGCGCAAGTTTAGCAGTTCTTGAAAAAATGGCAAAAAACTTGAAAAAAGGCAAAACCCTAAAATTGCGTTCACTACAGCGGCTAATGACTCGGGCAGTTTTAAACCAACGCTAAAATTGCACAGTTTTAAACTCACGCCATGACTACAGCATCACTCCGTCTTTTCTTGCCTTTTTCAAATTAATAAAAGTGTGACACAGCCCCAGGTTCTTTTTTGCTTCTTTTTTTTCAACCTCGTTGAGAAAGCTTTTCTTTTGTCACTTGCATACCCCCTTGGGCTGATGCAGGTAAGCTATTACAGACACTGCCTGCGCACCGCAAGGGATTGTCCATGTTGTTTTATGTTGGGTCCTGGCGTATAAGGGGTTTGCCTGATACAGTTAGCGGTCTAATGGGGATGCAGGTACAGGTTGGTGGTTAGAGTGCTCATGTGTGTTGGTTACCTTAGGCTCCGCTTTTTTTTTTTTGGGGGGGGGGAAACCTTAGGGTGGGATGAGGTCCCGTTTGGGGGGAGGGTTGGCCTGGGACAAGCTCTGCTAGGAGGATATCGGTGGGGAACCTACAGTAGGGGATTGTCTTAAGGGATCCCGGTAGGAGGGGTGTTAGTAGACAGACTCTGGTGGAGGAGACCGTTAGGGAACCTGCAGTCGGGTAGGGGCTGTCTGAGGGGGATCCTCCGAGATAGGATGGTCTGCGTCCTATAAATTCGTTGCTGACTGTAGATAGCTACCTCTCGTGGGTCCCGAAACTGACCTCTACAACACCCTGGACTTAATTAGGAAAAATAAAATAAAAAGGAGAATGCCCGAAGGAAGATACACCGCTGCACTTTGCCTTACGTTAGACCACCCACCACCTTTGCCAAAACTTCCCAAAAGGCAATGTCGAGAATCGGAAATGTCGCCACCGCCTTTTTTTTTTTTTGGCCGAAAGGCAATGCCGAGAATCAAAATAAAAAATGTAACATGCTGGGTCCTTTGGGTGAGCAGTGCTACCAAACCTGAACGGCTGGCAGCACCAGCCACAAGGGGGGGGGGGGGGGGGGGGGGGGGACCGTCATGCTGGCGCTTCAATAAAGCTTGGCACACAGCTCTTCCAAAAAGAGGCTTCAATTTTTTGGCGATAGTGGTGGTTTAGTAAACCTTTATTTTTGCCTCGTACGTCGTATGTTCTCTCTTTTTTTCCGTAGTTGGTTTATTATTTGAATTTATTTCTGAAAGAATGTTTATTTTGATCTACATGAGTTGTGTGCAGGCATACTCACACAACAAGGTAGTACGGTAGTACCCATTAGGAGCAGACCCTGTGTTTTGCGTTTACTATGTCTACGCTGGGCCCGACTCCCAGCATGTGTGGCCCCACCAATATCAGCGTCACATCTATTAGTAGGGAAGGGTGCTCATACCACCTCCCTCTACCGTCTTCCGCCGAACACAATCCACCCTCATTTTGACTGTATCGGGCTGTAAACATACCTTTTATACGTTCATTTTCAGTGTGCGTTATGTTAGGGGGAAGACAGTAGTAGACGGAGGCAGATTTAAAAAAAAAAAAAAAAAAAAAGACGGTACTAATAATGTGCATCCATATTTGTCTGCGGTTTTCCGTTGGCAGGCAAGAACTCCGTGCTCATCGCTAAAGGAGATCGGATTTGCATAAGGACGCCTGGAGGTGGTGGGTGGGGAACCCCTGTTCAGCAGGAGAAGACTTCGCCGAGGTGCCGCTGAAGAATGTGAGCCAAGTGCTTGCATGGAGAAGAACTTTTAGGAGAATGATGATGAAGGCGCTAGTACAGAGTTTGAGATCTTCCTTTCAAAACACTTGTCATGCATGTAGCCCCATCAGACAACTTCAAAAAAAGAACTTTAGACCTTAAAGGCTTAAACCCTAAACCCTAAGCCCAGGATATCAGACCGAAGACCCTATGGCATTTATTTGACGCCCTACAGTTCCCTAAACCCTCTCAATTGATTCTAAAGGATCTTTTTTAAGCCGATGTCGTAAGCACAAAGGAATTACTATACTATGAAAATTTCTTTAGGAGTTACTTGTTGACTATTTTTGAATGCTGTTTATGCTTTAGCAGCACGATTAGTATCAATGTCACCTCTTCAATCTTAAGTGTATCTAAAACAATCTATGCAATTGATAGCAAAGATCCTGACAATAGAGCAGCATAACTAAAAATCATCATAAAGACCTAAAGTGCTATTCCTAAACCCTAATCAGGAAACCTTGGCTCAACTTTTGTACGCTTCTCCTGGAACCTGTTCCAATGCCCTAATCAAAATCCCTAGCCCCTGATGTCAGTAAATCCAAACTGTGATTCCTTAACTCAGTAAATCCAAACTGTCTTTTTCTTAACCATAGTTAATAATTGATGATTGACTACAGTCTTCCCCCTAATACAACGTATATGGTCATTATAGCTGTATTTGGGTTGTCTTTCAGACTAACCACAGCTATAATGACCGTACGACGTACGGTGTATTCGGGGGAAGAAGGTAGGGTTAACCCGGTTAAGGAATCGAAGTTCTCAAACCAGTTCCTAAACCCTGACCAGCAGTGATTCCTTAACCATAGTGGACAAATTTTTTATTTTATTGTATTTTATTTTTTGGAATAGTGGACATTTTTGGCAATCATAAAGCAGTCATCCTTAGACTCTGAGTGCTAAATGCTGACTACTAAATGTCAGCTTCTCTTCACTCTCTGAAATGTGTGTTTTGCACGTCGGGAGAGGAGCAAGGGATGCATGTGTGTGTGTGTGTTGTGTGTGTGTGTGTGTGTGTGTGTGTGTGTGTGTGTGTGTGTGTGTGTGTGTGTGTGTGTTGTGCGTCGGAAGACGAGCAAGGGATGCAGTGTACGATGATGTATCACTTGTATCTGCAGAAAATTTGGGAACTGTTCTTTTTGTACTGATCTGATTGTCGGGGGGTTTTCGGCTCCCTTTCACGATATCCATAGCCTCATGCTGTCCACTCTCTGTCTGATCTGCTCTTTTCTTCTCCTCCTCCTCCTTGCTCAGGCTGTTTGCTGCAGTCCTATTTTGTCGCCCTTTCCCAGGGTTGGGGAAACCGAAAGGTGCGACAAAATAGTAGGACCGTTTGCACTTCCCAGTCTCAGGCTGTAATGATCTGCCTCAGTTCTTAAACCCTACCTTCGTTCCCCGAATACTACGTATGGTAATTATAGTTGTATCTACACTGAAAGATGTGTCAAATACATCTTCAATGACCGTACGTTGTGTTCGGGGGAAGAAAGTAGCTACCGAGAAGCAGTTATCAGACCCCTAAATTTTCACGAGGGTCTTTTCAGGGTCATTATGACAACAAACCTGTCGTGCTTTTTGAGTCAGACTTGTCACCAGTCCATAGTAATGGACACCAAATAAACCAACGGCAACAACAAAAATAACCGTACGACTTCTCTGTGCTGGGGGGGGTATCCTAATATGCTGGGGCTGAAAAGTGGGGGTCCCTGTTAAACCACCAGTACCTCGCTCAGCTATTGAATCCGAGCCTCCCAGCACGCTGCGCGCCAAGTCCTGCCGAACCGCCGTCACAATTTTCCTTTTCGTTTTGCCTGCGGCCTCCAGCCAATGCGGTCCGGCAGGCCGAAGCCCAAATGGCGCGGCGCGTATATACGGGAAGCGCCGCGGCCGATAGCTGGGCCAGGTACTGGTGGTTTAACCGCTTGTGAACTGAGTGAGGCCCAATTGGGTCAGTGGACGGTGCTGGACGCGAGGACATGCCATGGTCACTGTTGACATTCCTAAACTGTTAAGTTGTTAACCCTAACTACAGAGGTCAGTGGACGTGAGGACAAGCCATGAACTTGGGGCTTTGTTTCCTCCGTCTCTTCTTCTTGTTGAAAAAAAAAGAAAAAAGAGAGGACGACGGCCTGGAGGTATCATCGTTGACCTGACCGGCCTCAGGTAATTCGGAGTTATTTTGGTTTTGTTCATCTTCTTGCATCTGGATTCGAACACAGGTCTGTATTTATTTGAGCAGTTCATGCGTATACCAACGGAGGTGGGCCCGTTGGCGTTTCGTCCGTCTCTTCTTTTCTATCCTCTTTTCATCATTATTGTCCTCCTCCTGCTTCATCCTCGTGATCCGGAAGGGCCCGGAATTAGGGCTGGTTATTTTGTTTTGTTTGTTTTCTTTTTTTTTGGGAATAATTGGGGCATGATTCTGAAGGCCGCCGTTTTGCAAAGGCAGCCTCTAATTTGAATAGCTGTGCCCCCCCCCCCCCACTCACCCAATGCTGACTATATTGTTTCAAGCGCCCGCCGAGGTCCGCCATCACCCGTTGCCAGGGAGGGCAGCAGCTCAAGGAACTGCTTGGCGACCAACTCCTTCCTCCTGCAGCTGTGTGTCTTCTTGCCCTGCCGTTGCTTCTACCACCTCCTCCTCCTCCTTGTCCTCCTGCCATACATCTTCTCCTCCGCCTTTCTGTCTAGTCCTCGCCTTCTCCTCCCCCTCCTCCTCCTCAACTATGCCCTCCTTTTCTTTGTCCCTCTTCCCCTCCTCATAGTCCTCCTCCTCCTCAAGTCCGCCCTCATTTTCTTTCTCCCTCTCCTCCTTATCGTCCTCCTCGGCCTCCTCGGCCTCCTCCTTTTCGTCGTCTCTCTCTCTCTCTCTCTCTCTCTCTCTCTCTCTCTCTCTCTCTCTCTCTCTCTC